CTTTTTGCAAATACTTTACTGAGGAGAAACACCAGTGAATTTGCCTTTTTTACAACACGCTGAACATGCTCAGAGCAAGATAGGCAAGAAGTCATGAACAACCCTAAATCCGATAGTGATTCCGATTTTGTTAACTTGGAATTATCAATGGTATACGTATGTTGCGGGTTATTTTTACCAATATATAGCACCGAACATTTAGATACGTTTAGAGGTAGCAACCAGGCAGAGCACCATTCGCCGATAGCTGACAAGTTGCTTTTCAGGATAGACTGATTGTTGCTGGTGTTGTATATCTTTATATCATCAGCAGTGTATACAATGAACAATAGTGGACCCAAAATCGATCCTTGAGGTACACCACTCAGGACTGGTCTATGCTCGCTTAGGCCGTCACCAACCCTCACTATAAACGTACGATCAGACAAAAAGGCGCCAATCCAATGAAGTAGATTCCCCACTATTCCAAGATTTTCAAGCTTGGCTAAAAGCCGGCGGTTGGGACCCTATCGAAAGCTTTGGAATAATCCAAGTAAACAACATCAACTGGAACTCCAGAATCATAAAGCCGGGTCTAGTTTGAAAGACAGCAAAGGAGATTCGAAATTGTGGAGTTGCCGGGAAGAAAACCGTGCTGTTCTTCCGGAATAAGATGTTGATCCAATAGGAACTTAATGAGAGTTTCGTAGATTATAGACTCCATGGTTTTTTAACAATAAGGGAGGTCAGACTAATGGGCCGATAATTACAGGGATTGAACTTATCTTCCTTCTTAAAGATAGGTCTCACGATTGCTGTTTTCCAATCAAAAGGCAAGATGCCTGAAGTAAATGATTGTTTCATTAAGGGACTCAGAGGTAGAGAAAGACATTCGGCACAGTGGGCCAAAACGGAAGCAGTAATTGCGTCCGGCCCAGGAGCTTTAGAAACTTTTAGTTTCTTCAACTTACTACAAATGACATCTTCAGGGAACTCAATACTATCGAGGGAGACATTCGGCTTGGGTATTATTGCACTTGGTAATGTACTGTCAGTTTCAAGAGTGAAAGTTTTAGAAAATGTGTCTGCGAAAATATTTGCAACAGTAGCACAGTCATCGGTGATTTTGTCGTCGTCGTCTCTTAATTGAAGAGTCGACAAGGGCCCAGAAATTTTGTTACGATGTGAGATGAAAAATTACGATGTGCTTTGTAGTCGTTTTGATTTTCTGATCTCTTAAACGCTCGCCATAGAGCTCGTTTAGTTCTTACCATTTTTAGAATTTTTTTTACCAATCCATGGTTTAGTTGAGGATCTTTTGATGCTAATACTAGAGGAGTGTTTACACACGAGGTCGAGCACTGTGGTCTTAAATAATTCCCAGTTATCTGCGACCGAGGAGGTAATGAACAACGACGGCCAGTGAACATCGGTTAAGGCCTTATTCACAGGTCTGTAGTCAATAACAGCTCTGATGTATGTGACTGTTCTTTCCTTCGAAAGCGTGCAAATCTGGAAATTAGCCTTGGAATGATCTGATTTTCCGACAGGATCAAGGTCTTCCAAATGGGCCAGAGAGTTGTCGTCACTAGTGATAATTAAGTCCAATGTCGAAGGGTTTTGATTTATCCTGTACCGGGTGTGTTGCGTTACCAACTGACTTAAGTGACTATTCAATAACAGGTCGACTAATAATTGAGAAGATGGAGCACAAGACTGAGAGGCGTTTAAGGGCCACTTTATATCAGGCATATTGAAATCACCAAAAATAAAAAGATGTTGATAAACGTCAGTCATCTCTGAGATGCACTGGAAAAGGGAGTGGTCATCTTCGATGATGGACTTAGGTGGCCGGTAAATGCACCCTAACGGAAACGTCAACCTCGTATTTGTTATCTTCAGAAATATGGAGTCAATGTTATCCGTGTCGACTGTAATGGGAATAAATGCAAAGTTCGCGCAGATGTGATCAGAGATATAAACACAAACACCTCCACCTTTGTTGTTGTGATGATCTTTTCTAAAAACTGCGGATCCATCTAAGGAAATCGGCGGGTCAGTCACTGAAGGGGTTAACCAGGTTTCTGAAATTAGTACAAATGATGGTTTCAGTTCACTGACTAGGGTATGCATAATTCGTCACATTTCGCAAGTAATGACGCAAGGTTAGTGTAAATAATAGGATGAGTAAAATAGTGTGCATTAGCAGACGCCATTTTTATTAAAAAGATTATACTATACTGGAAAGGCAGTACATTTACTTGGAGGAATGACTTAAATCATCCTCCATGCCGTGCTCACGAGTGACTGAAGTTAATTCAATCAAATTAAAGTTATCTGGATTGTAAGCTTTCTTAATTTTTCTATGTATTTTTCGACATCTGTTTTTCATACTTTTTTGATTCACAATCGGGTAAACGTCATACAATAAATTCATAACTCCTTGAATATCATATGTGTATTCAGGTACAAGGCCAAGAATATCATTAACACCTGATGCCTTATCCAAGAACCCGACCACTTGATCAAAGTTCAGTGGATACTGCTCAGTGTTGTTCAGTAAGTCTTGGGCAGGTAAAAGCAAATCAAGAGTCGCAGTTAATCTGTCGCAGGAGTCACTCGTTTTTTTCTTTTTTAAAGTATTATTTACTTTACTGGAAGTATCACCAGAGAGATCTAGAGGCGAAATTTCGGGAGAACTGACGTCGTCGTCAATCTGCCTTTTTCTAGGGGTTTCTTCAATGCTTACTGTGGGATTAGGGTCCTGATTTGATGAAGTAACATTAGGACATTCGTTAGCATAATGGCCAGTCGTTTTGCATTTGTAGCAAACGTCATCATATGTCAAAAAAACCCGGTAATTCGTATCATCGTATTTTAACACTAGAGAATCAGGAAGAATAATGCTGTCGTCAGGTTGAACATACATGTATCTGCGAAAACTGAGTATAAGCGCATATTGTTCGTCTTTAATGCCCGCTCTCATAAAAGATATAGGTGACATAGGGACAAGTCCGAGGGATTTAATTCTGTTCTCAAAAATAATATGAGGGACTGATGGGCAGACGTTTGATAAAATTAATCGGCGAGCTGGGTTTAATAAACGACGTATACCGACGTCAACGTCTTAACTTTAATAGAGGGATGCATCGTGACAAGGTCATCAACCAAAGACTTCGAAGTAAGGTTAATACAAATACGATTTTTTGAGATTCTAGATACAAACAAGATAGTTTTGAGTGTCACAACATTACCTATTGCAACAATGTAATCTTGCAAATTCAAAGTATCAACAGCGGTGATAACTACCGCTTGTTCGTTAGTAGGGAAATTATTAGCCATCATGAACAGTGGCTAAAACTAAATAATGTGTACCCCCCAAAGGGGGACAAGACGTAGCAAGGTACGGCAACACACCAGCGCCTTGGTCGCTCGTGTCGTGCCTATCGAAAGAAAATTTTATCGCCAATGGACAAAAAGAGCACTGATAAACATAAATATTCGAATGTGACAACTAAATCAAATCGTAAATCCTTAGGAATATAGCAACCAGCGGACTATTCCTGGTAAAAACCGGGACAACCCATGCTCTCACAAACCGATCACTAACCAGTGCTTTTTCCCGATTAAAAATCAGAACAGACTCCCCAAATTAGAGGTCAGACACGGAGCACAGGAAAGTGCGTGCACTTACATTCCCCACCACTTGATTCATATATTGATTCTTGATATTGAATATTTTGAACAAGAACTGTATGTATATAAAGCTATTAGAAATCTGAAATCTACAAAGACATCTGGTCCAGGCACAGTTCCAGGATTTCTTGTTAGAGATTGTGCAGCTATTTTGTCCAAGCCATTAACTGCCATATTTAATTTAATTTTAAAACACTCAGACTTCCCGATCATCTGCAAGGAGTCGTGTATTGTACCAATTCCTGACTAGGAAAAAAAGATAAAATTATCAATTATAGGTCCATCAATCTCATCAACAATTTTGCGAAAGTCTTTGAGCTTGTCTTAAAATTCCAAATATATTCACAAATTACTAATTAGTAGCACCCCAACAGCATGTTTTCGTGAAAGGGAAATCGACGGCGACCAACTTACTCTTAAAAGGGCAGTTTCTGGCTGAAAGTCTTCATAGACGGAGCCAGGTTGACTGATTACACCGATTTTTCCAGGGTCTTCGACAGTATTAATCATCGAGTACTTCTGCGCAGGATGGAAAACTTTGGGTCTCACTCACTTATAAAAGTTTTTCATTCGTATATTTCTGTCTAAATCATTTGTACAGCAGTCCGGAGTTCCTCAGGACTCAGTAATGGGCCCACTGCTATTCAATGTATATATTAATGATATCGTTCGTCACCTTGATGTAAATTGTCTGTTATATGCTGATGATATGAAAATTTTCTATGAAATAAACAGAAGGGAGGATGGTGTACAACTCCTGAAAAACTTAGATCGTGTTTTTAAATGGTCTGTCGACAATGACCTACCGCTAAACAAAAACAGATCCTTTGTCATGTCCTACAGTAACAAATGTGGTATTATATATTAAGTTTGATTACATTGCAGATTGAACTATTTTGGGACACCCACAATTTATTAGAGACCTGGGTGTAATACATAACCCAAAACTTAATTTTATTGAGCATATAAGGGGGACATCAGCATCTGCTCTTAAGATGTTTGGGATTTGCAATCCGTAATTTCCGTGAGAGCTAGTAATTTAGGTGGCAACCAATTATATAGGCGAAGATCTCTGCTTTGACTAAGTTGAACAAAAATGTGTGATGGTTATGGACAAGGCACCATATCATTCTGTGCAGTTGGACAAGCCACGAACATTTTCTAGTAAACAAAAAGTCAAATGCAAAAATGGCTGCTTAATGATAGTATTGAATTTGAACAAAAATTTTCGAATAAAGCAATTATGGGATTTGATTCAACGTTTTAGGATAAATACACAAAAGCGTTATTTGGCAAACGAGACGTTTCTCAACCTTCATCCAAAACTAAGGTGGAGGATTTATGTCTTGAAGTTCTCGGTAAATGTACACCAAACATCTGGCAAATTTTTTGTGAACATTGTGAAAAACTTATTTTGGCAGACTGGAAGAAACATACTTAGTTCTGAAAGCCCCGTCAATAGTGTCACTGTCGTACCTCATGAGGCGGTCTAAATGAACAATCTTCATTTTCGTGTTCGGCCCTCGTCGAATTCTATAAACGACATCGTTGATTTTCGTCACAACAGTATATAGACCTTCCCAGGCTGATGACAACTTCGGACAACGACCTTTCCTTCTTTGGGGATCATAAAGCCATATCAAATCCCCTGCCTGGAATCCTACTGAGTTGTCCTTCAGGTCATTGGTGTAATCTATGACCTCCGTTGGCTCGTCACTCGGGGAGCCGAACAAGATGTCATAAGGTAGACGGACAGCTGATCGATACGCGAGTAGGAACAGTGGAAGGTGTCGAGCCCAATCTTTCTGATGTTCGGCCACCACCTTCGAAAGATGTTCTTCCATGGTACGATTGAACCCTTCTACCATTCCATCTAAGTGCGGGTGCACGGATACGGGGAATATGGATGTCTTCCGTATCCCTAGTGCCTTTGGAATAAATTTGACTCGAAGTTTCTGCCTTGATCCGAATGTATTTCCATGGGACCCCAAACCTGCTGACCCAATTGTCAATCAGCATTTTTGCAACCATCGTGGCTTCTTGGTTCGGGCCATTTGCTGAAGTAATCTCTGACGACCATTATATACTCATTCCCGTTTTCGGTCATCGGGAAAAGACTTGCTATATCCAGTGCAATTCTTTCGAAAGGCACAGGTCGTACATTTCTTGCACCAACTTTCGACGTCTTCTCTGCAACGGACCCAGTAAAATTTCTCCCTAACTTTAGAAAACGTCTTGTTAATTCCAAAATGAGTACCAGAACCCTCATTGTGCATCTCTCGAAGTACTTCTTTCCTGATTCTGGTGGTCGGAACCACCAACTACATTGTCTGGAGTCTCACAAGCAATCCGTTCTCGACAAGCAGAGATCCCCACTGAGCCCATAGCAGTCATAGCACCTTGAAAGAGGGTGACTGGTATGATATTTCTGACCAACCTGGCCGTTCTACCCCATCTTCTTTCCATTTGAGCAATGGCCCGATATCCACGTCCTCCTCTTGGTCTTTTATAAGCTGGGCCGCAGTCCATTCTTCATCTTCTATGACTGCTGTCCTTTCATAGTTGAACGACGTTTCATGTTGCTCGATCTTGTCGCAGTGTTTGTAGTACTTACAGGGTCTTCTCGACAAAGAATCCGCATTATTGTGGAGCTTACCAGCGCTGTGTCGAATTTTGAAATGATACTGTTGCAGTCGTTCAAGCCATCTACCCACTTGTCCTTCGCAATTTTTCATTTGTAGGAGCCACGTGAGGGCTGCGTGATCGGTTCTAATTAGGAATTCGCGTCGATAGAGATACTTATGGAAATGTTCAACAGCTCTGACAATCGCCAACAACTCCTTCTTCGTAGCACAGTAGTTCTTCTCGGGTTCTGAAAGTACGCTGCTGAAGTACTCGATGACTTTTTCTTCCTTGTCCTGCAGCTGTGACAATACAGCAACTATTCCGATGTTGCTCGCATCCGTGTCCAAGATGAACATTTCCGATGAATGCAAATAGAACAAAATAGGACTAGAGCATAGCGCATTCTTCAGTCTTTTGAAGGCTGTCCAATTAAACTGAGACTTTAAATCCGTCAGCCTGTGCAGAGGAGCACCAAAATCAGCAAACCCGTTGACAAACCTGTTGAAGTACGTGCACAATCCCAAGAAACTCCGGACTTCGTGCTTGATCCCGTTTGCCAAAACAGTGTGCCCTAGAAATTCTACTTCTCTTTGAAAGAGGAGGCGTTTCTTCGGATTCAGCTTCAAATTTGCCTGCTTCATTTGACTAAATACTTCTTCTTTGATTTCTTCTATTTCATTCTTGTTTTCTTACACTCCCTTTTGGAATTTTTCAATTAGGCTAATATGGTTATCTATTTTTTCGCACCTTTTTCCCATTTTTGCATGCATATTCTCGTCCATTTCCTTGTTTCTTGCTGCCATCTTGTCGTCCATTTTTTTTTAATTCTTGCGCCCATTTCTTGGTTCATTTCTTTGTTTCTTGCGTCCATCTGTGCTTTACTTGTTTCTCCATTTTCGCAACTTGTGCTCTAGTCTCAACAGGCATCAATCTACAGAATTCTTGTCCAATCTGCCCGTAGATCTTCGTAAAACCAATTATATTAATCTTGAATCTCACTTCCGACACCACTGTTACGAGGACCGGTAATTTAGAATCGGCGTGAGTAAAACACGATTATTTATTTCTCAGCAACACAAATTTCATGGAATGAATCGTTCCCGAAGTTGGTCTCTATTTAAACCCACACTTCCTTTCTAGATATTCTACGATCGAGGTTTTTCTGGAGTACCCATCACGACTTCCGGTTCCAGGCTTTTCTTCAGCGAACGTCGCCCGGACGCCGTCATATACTAGAAAACTTGACAGCGATTCCCTCATGGTGTGTCTTTCAGAAAAAAATCCATTGTCAAATCACTTTTTCCATCAAACCTTCGGCGGAAATATTAACCAAGGGAATTAAAATAGCATTGAATGTGACGTTTTTGACTCAAGAACAAACTAGTGGTAAAATTTCGCCAGGAAATCCGCCACACCTGTACATTTTCACCGCTGAGCCGCCCCGACAGCCGGTATTTTATTTAAGTTCTTGTTTGTCAGCAGTTACATCAACACCTCCTCAGAAGTCCAAAAGCTAATCCATCTCTCGGTCGGACTGATCGACGATGATTGATTTCGCGCATAACAAATCCGTCGATCGTGTTGTTTCCGTCGAATGGTTGCGTGATGAGTCGACTTTATCGGTGTTTTATTCAAACTCATCGCGTCTACGGGTTTCGATGGAAGTTTAAAAGTTTATCGCTGAATTATGGGCGACGCCCACTTCCAAATGGCTTGGCGTTTTCTAAAGTAAAGAACATATAAACCGCTCATAAACATGTCACTCGCCTTCTTATGTATCTTGATACGAGCGCTCGTGCATGCATTCGGTAGTACTAAACATGACTGTTAAATCGCTTGTGCGCTGTTTACGTGTTCCGAGATTTCCAATCGTGAAATATTAAGGGAGTTCATCATGTGCATGCAACCGAGCTTCCCTTAATTCCCTATCTTGCCTTCAACGGGTTTCATATTGCATTTGAGTCCGCTTATCGTCAGCTCGTAAACCTAGACTAATAAAAACAAAACGCGATTGTCTGCTGTGTAGTCGTTTGCTTAATTTTAGGGAAACTCTAAATGCTTAATCAGCTTCGGTGCTTGAACTGGAGTGTTGCAGATGAATGGGGTATTTGCAGCTAGAACTGAGACATGCGAGTTTCGCTATAGCTTTTCAACTAATTTGATCTTTCAGCCACCCACTCCACACACTTTTCTAGAAAATTAAACTATAAACGATTTTCAAAAAGTACAGACTTAACAGAGAAAATATAAATTCAAGGGTGAAATTCTACGAAAATGTGATTTCCATACATTGTAATTCGCGTTGTAACTCGCTGGGATGTCAAGTTAAAACGGGTGATAGAAATTCCCTGGGAATTGTTTTTAAAACAATTCTTCTGTCCCATTAGATATTTTATATTTATTAACGTTAACCCACGTTTTCCGGATTTCAACTTTCTACGCCAAGATCTAGTTCATAATGGCTCTTTATTTTATTTATTTATACAATTATTTCTGTTTTATTAACACATCGTACGAAAACTTTCCTTTCCATATATACAGGGTGGTGTTTGGTATCTCATTAATAGGCTTCGGATCTTAGGTTTTTTGCTTTTTATATCTACTTCAGGCATTGCAGTGAAATTTATATATTTATCCGAATTTAAAAAATTCTGTTTATTTAACGCCCATTTAATACTACCTAAAATGCCAAATTTACCGTTAGAGACCTAAAGTGTTAATTAACCGACCTAATTGTAAATTTTAAAAGACTTAAAATAGGATTCCACGACCAACGAAGCGGACGTGCTTGCACAATAGAGATTTTCCGTGAATTCATTGCTTTGGCTGCCAGATTGTTTAAAAATGGGTTGTAAACAACGCCCTTAAGTTTAATGGTACGGGTTGGTGTCGCCAACTGACAACGCTGGCCTACATTTCATTTAGATTATAGCCGGAAGGAGGTTAATCTGAAAAAGCATTTTCTTTTAGAAGTTTATTGTTAGTGATACTGAATGTCTTTGCGTGTTAGTGAGTGTGCTGGGGCCGGTTTTGATTTTTGTGCATACAGTAAAGAATCCTCAAAATGCCTAAGGTAAAATCATCCATGAAAGATAAAATCAAATTATGGTTAGGGAATAATTTGGACACTAATTCCCTTCTTCAACCAAAGACAACGAGTTATTCTGCAAAGTGTGTGGAAACGTTGTAAGTAAACATTTAAAATACTGAAGCTTGAATTATGTTCACATTTTTGTTTCCTAGTTTAAGTGCGAAAAAAAATCACACTTTGGACAACACTGCAGTGGCGATGCACATAAAAAGAACAAGAATAAATCCAGTAAACAGACTTTATTAAACATTAGTTCCGACAATGATTTTACGCAATTTTGCACCGATTTATGTAGGGCATTTATCGCAGCAGATGTTCCATGGAATAAAGTTAGTTGTCCTGAGTTTAAAAATTTTATGCATAAATATACCGGAAGGCGTTTACCCTCAAAAAGCACTCTGAGAAAAAATTATTTACCAAAAGATTACGCTATGCTGAGCACTATAATTTTTATTTAAAAACTTTTTAACATAAATTTTATAATTTACAGGTAATTAAACAAATTAGAGATTCTGTTGACAATAATGATGGATGGAAAATTTAAAGAAATATATAGTTTGCTTTTGTAACTCATTTTAAGCACCTGAATTAATGTTATTTTTTGTTAAATGCGACTTGTTTTAATTTGATCACCATTTTTTTGCGATAACTTAGAATTAGTGGACTTAACTATAGATCGTTTATTTATTTAATCATTTTTTTGTTTGTTACACAAAATATTTGTTTCTATAATGTTTTTTAATATATATTTTTTTGATGTATGCTTTTTCGTTGAGCAAATATTTTTTCCTCCAGGTTTTTAACCTAAACTAAGATTTTTATAACCTAATTCGTCAATTTAGGGACCTAAAAATTTCCTTTATCCTTTTATTCATTTTTTAACGACCTAAAATCCGAAGCCTACTCATTAATTACTAGAGTTACAACAAAAAATCAAGACCAAAGTTATATGGTTCTTTAAATTTTTTTAACGATACAAAGTGTTCTGTTTTTAAGGTGTAACACACAAATTAGTTTTTTTATATATGTACTTAGATATATATAAATAAATAGGATACATTTTCAGATATTCGCATTAGCCCCTATAAGTATAGTTTATTTTTGAAATCCCGACGCAACGTTGCCACATTATTCCAATTTTCTTGAAATTGTTTGGCACTGGAAAGGTTCACAATTTTAAAGTGAAATCCTAAAAGAACCCTACAATTTTGGCCTTCGACTTTTTCTTCCATTTCTAATAATTCATTTGATATCGAGCAACGCGCACTTAGCGACTCACCCTGTATCTTCAAAATTTACACAGCATTTTTTTTACATTTTAACGTGTTAACCTTACATCTTTTTCGGATTTATATTCCTTGTTTAACAATTGTCTAAGATATTTAGCAAAACTTTCCTTGACCCTGAAATACAGTTCAACAAAACCAGCTTCTTTGAAAAATTATAAAATTATAAAGTTGCAAAATTTTATTAATTTTATAACCCCTGGAAGTTAAAATGAAAATGCAGATAATACCTGTTGCAGTGTAAAAAGAATCTGGGACGGCAGACAGACGGACGGACAGACGGACGGAAACGGGAGACCTATTTCTTCGTATTCTAGGGGTCATGAAAAGTCGAGTAAACGTAAAAGTCTAGCAACCACTGGACTTCATATACTATTATAAAATATCTTGGTGCAATTCGAATTTTTTGCGAAAATCTGAATGGCACGACAGATTCATAAACCACAAATACAGGAGCACGTTATTTTATGAAATTTAAATAGCATTTACCATGCAAAATGTCGAGGTGACGTGAGCAAGGGGGATGATTAGATAAATTTTGGTTAGCGTTCGACCATCTAAAGAGACATTATGTGAATAATCAACGTCGACACAGACGATAGACAGACGAAAAACTGAAAAGGGAGACATTTTTTTCATACTCTGTGGGTCATGAAACGTCGGAAAAACATAAAAGTAGGACTCTAAAATAAAAAGGAAAAAATATGGAACGCAGAATGGGTTTAAACAGATATAGCAAATATGTTGAGCTTGAGCTTAATAGCTTTTTGGAAAAAAATGTCACAAACTATCCAAATTGAGAAACACGAGAACAAGAAACGACAATCTATAAATTTGATCACCCTGTATAAATACATGTAAACCTTATAAAATCTGTTCGACGTTTATTAAGAGGAGATAATCAAACAAATTTTGTGTAAAATTCTAAACCAACATCTCTAAAAATGGTTTAAATGTGACCAGTTTTTCCAGAAAAATACAAGCCTTATTCAAAAAACTATAACATAAACAATCTAAATCTGTAAATACAGTGGGGCCCAGAAAATTTTGGACGTCATTTTTCTGTCATTATGAAAATTTTGATGTAGCTATACCTAAAAAACTAAGTACCAAAAAAAAAATATTACAGTACTTACAGGTGTTTTACATTTTGTGACAACAGAATGACATTCTCGTCCAAGATTTTCTGGCTTCGACTCTACACACTGAGCCATTAAGTTTATTTTTGAAGTTCTGATACAACGTTGCCACTTTATTCCAATTT